TGAAGGATGCTGCCAAGGGTGATGTCTGGTTTCCTGTTCGGGCGTCTAGTGGAGTGGGATGCGATATTTCTTCGATTCCAAACGCAAGTCCCTGATTGGGACTAATTTGGTCCTAGTCGGGGAACACTTTTTGGTCCAACTTTCTCCGAATTGAAATCCGATTGCACCGTTGCGATCAGACAGTTAAACTCTATCTAACGATATAATTTTTATATTTATTCGTTATACTTTTTCCGACATCATATTTTTGGGTGGTTGACTTTGACAGAGTCAAAATTGGTTTAATTGACCTTTATTCAAAAAGGTTCTCACATTTAATTCATATTATTTATTTCCATGATTTATTTCAATAAATCATTTCAAAGTTCACATTATAAACAATTTCTTCATTTATTCTTAATTTGGGTCTGTACTCAGATTTCCAATCAAGATCACACAATAAATCAACATGTTGGATTTATCTCTATGAGATTTATCGCAATTATGTTTATTGGATATCAATATATATTTTATTTCAGCCCAAAGCCCAACAACAATTTAATTTAATCAAAACAAATTTTGTTTAATTGAATATTTAATTCAATAAATTTTAGGGTATATTTTGGGGCGTTGCACCCCACACTCCCAAACTCCAAGGCTGTGACATCTGTTAGAATAAAGGCCCAACGCTAGAGGGGGGGTGAATAGCGTTTAAAAAACAAAATCGCAGGAAATTAAAACGAGAGAGTTAAAGTAAAGAGCGTAAGGAAGGAGCACACCGGATTTTATCCTGGTTCACCACAACGTGTGGATAATCCAGCCCCCCGAGAGACTCTCTCGAGCTACACTAACTCCGTTAAGCTTAAGGGTGCTTAACAAACCGATACAACTTGAGAACCCGAGTCACACGAGCCTCAACACCTTTGCTCGGAGATACCGCACTCCAAGACTTCTCACGAAAAAACAAGGGACTTCCTTCGAGTTTACAACAAGGGAACAAACTCCCTTAAAGTGTATGAAAACACTTAAACACTCAGGAATAAAACTCTCACAAAGAGTAGATATGAGTGAACTAGTAAACGCTCAAGAACACGACAATTTCTTCAAGAATTGGCTCTCAAATAGCTAAGAAAAATGGGAATGCTTATGCAATGAAGGAGTATTGAAATGTTGAAGAATTGTGTGTTAAAAGAGAGGATTTGGGTGCCATTTTATAGCCCAAAATGGGATAAACCCGTTGCTAGAATTTCCAACAGGATGAAGACAAATTTTTCAGGGACACAGGCTGATAGTCGATTGTCAAACCATGATAATCGATTATCCAAAGATTCCCTGTCCAAAAATTTAAAATTCTATCCGTTGGAGGACAACGGTAACCCAGATAATCGATTGTCAACAAGTGATAATCGATTATTGGTCCTCTCTGAAGATTCTGGGTTTTGGCTGCAAAGGCTGATAATCGATTATTGCAAAGCTGATAATCGATTATTGCGTGCTTCAGAACTTGGAAGTTCAAAGCTGCA